TTCCCTCGTCAAGTGACAAAAAATAGATGACTACCATTGAGGTCTATTATAATATTATTTTTTTTTGGAGAAACTGATTGAGAGTTTACCTCTATCTATTGATTTTATTTAACCCGTAACTGGTGAAGTGAGGTTTCTCAAACCCCACAGATTTTAAGAATCTTTAACACGTATTAACTAATGGTTGGTGACCCGCGACCTCCTGTGTAGCTTTCGGTCTGTTGTCCGTCAGTACCCCAACGATATCAACAACGCCCGATATCCTACTTGGTATGCGATATTACGATTTTTGTACAAATTGGGGTTTGCGTAACCCCACCTCACTGTGAGTCGTTTAGGTTAGTTTGGGTTAATTGCTCTCCAAAAAGTTTACTTGAAATACAATTTTGGTAAAACTTTGTTCCTTGAATGTTTTTCAAAGATTTTTTAGACACTTTTACGCCATTTTGTAAGTTACATTTTCAGTTTGATTACTTCCAGCAATTAGAAATAAGTTCTAATGTGTGTTCTGCGCAGTCCCTCAGTAAAATTGAATTATTCGTAAAATATTTGTTTTTTGTTTATTGAAAGTATGTACCTACGCGTTCCAAAAGGACAAAAATGTTACCCAAAAGTGAATAACATACACGTTTTTTTATTTTGAATTAGCAGAATCGCCTTTTTCATTTGGGGTTTAGCAAACCCCACCTCACCGGTTATGTAACAAAAAAATGACCTCACCAGTTACGGGTTAAACTGTTTTACTAGCAGTTGATTTTATACTTTGAAATTATTCATTACTTGATTTTGACCTCACTGTAAAAATATATATTAATTTAGTTTAAAACTAACCTAATTGTTTTATTGGTTTTACCTTTGTCAAGATTTGGTTGAGTTATATGCCTTAATTATTTCCTTTTTAGAATTATCAATTATCGTTTTCTGATTTTTTTTTTAGGTGTGTTTCTGAATTTTCACCCCTCAATATTTAATGTAATTTAATTTATTTTTTTTAATTCAGTGGCGCCCTTACCATTCTGTACTTAATAAATTATTAGGCCGGCATACACACACGTTATTTCGCGCGGTTTATCGTGGCGTGTTGGGATGTAGCGGTTTGCACGCGCGAAAGAACGGCGTGGCAAAAAAAGCGTCATGTTCCATACACTTGACAAAGTATTCAAATGATTTAGCACGTGATTACGCGTGGCTTATCAATTTCAAAGGAAAAACCGTATGTTTATGGACAAAAAGTGTCATTTATCGTGTCGTTTGAAAGTGAATTGGTCATGTACTAATTTTCAACGTGATAGTTCGTACTAGCCTCAAAACCGTGACGTGGAATGGCGTGTGGACACGGGTGTGAAATCCCTTCCCATTCTATCATTGCGTGCGGCCCTCCTCACTCACGCACATGATTTTTCAAAGGTTTTTGCAGATGACAGGATAAACCGCGCGAAAGAACGTGTGTGTATGCCGGCCTAATGACCCACTCCTAATAATTATTCGCTGAGCAAACTGAGCATATTATGGGCCTCTTGTGAATTCATTAACAAAAGGGGGTTATATGATGTTATCAGTGGGGAGCCAACAGCCAACATTTCATTAGTACTTAAAATACTTCAACTGGAAGACGACCATTGGTCTTCAATATCACGAGTACCTATATAAGATCTATTTGATTCCTAGTATTTTGTCATCTCATTGTCCAGCCTATAAAATAATCATTCTTAAAGAAGTATTTTTTTATCAGTCTAGGTAGATACTTCAATGAATAGACCAAAGCAAAAATAGAAGTAAGGAAGGAAGAAGAACCCATCCAGCAAAAGATACAAATCTGGAGAAAAAGGGGAGCCACAAGTTGATTTCGTCCATTCCTCAGAAAGCGAGAAATAAAATATCAAAAGCTTCCACAAATGCAATCAATCCATATCTATAGAGCCCTTGACTCAGCATACATATATTTACATTCTTTATATTACCTTAGTTTTCGAGTTTCCTTAGATTATCTTCGGAAAAGTTTCTTTTTAACTTTCCCTCCTATCGTAGGAGAGGGGGAGTTGTAACAAGCCAAAATTGCCTAACTAATTCTTACCTATTTTCAGTTTTTTATTCAAAATTCCTTTAAATTTGTTTTTCTCTCTATAAAATGTTTTAATTTTCAATATTTAAATTCTATTTTCATTTGTTACTAGTTCTTGTGAGGCTTATGATTTTTCTCGATTTTATTCAATATTTTTATTCAATTTCAAAATCAATCTCCATGTAAACAAATATTCATTTGTCAATTATTTCTTTTGGGGTTACCTGTGTTCCCAAATCATAATATAATCGGTTTTCAAAGTGTATGTACCGAACTACTCTGTTCGGCTATTGAACTCAGTACCAGTGTTAGTTGCACCCGGTTCAAACATTGGTTCCATAATCTTTGATATGTGTTCTGTGCTATCCTTGCTTTCTATTTTATAATGACACTTGACGCTTAAGTCATGTCACTCTTGATTTGCATCTCAGCTGACTTTTGAAGTGTCATTAATTTTTGTCAACTGGCTTTCGATTAGTAATGTTTTTGGGATCGTCTATCCCCGTAAGTAAAGAAAATGTGCCTCGAGTTTGCGGAGAAAATTTGTTATGTTTTTACCTGTTGGAAATTAGCCTATCCAAAACACGTGACTTTGACAAGCAAACAAAGGGTTTGTGTGCCTCTTGGCGGACATTTTTATTTAAGATTGACAGCATCTTGGAATTGTCAGCCTATCCAAAACAGGTGACGCAGGTGACTTTGACAAGCAAACAACGGGTTTGTGTGCCTCTTAGCGGACATTTTAATTTAAGTTTGACAGCATTTTGGATAGTCTAATAGGGTTTTATTTGCCTCGAAAATACTCTGGAAGTCTGGATCGAGGTCTGGATTCGATATCCTGGAGTGAGTGTGATGTTACTCTACTCTTTAGGGCAGGTTTTAATGATTAAATAGAAAAACTCAGAATCCACTTTGGGAAAAAAACGTTTACAGCAAAACTTACCACACGGATGCTATAAAAATCCGAATTAATCGGCGAAAATTATAACACTCTACGAAAACGTAAGGCAACTAAATGTGTTATAAATTCAATAATTGAGAATATAAGGTCGAAATCCCACAAAGACAAAGACGATCTTCAAAAAAAAGACCTCATTTCTCCAACGTCCAGATGTGAAAAGAAATGTGCTACACATAAAATTAATTAGCTGACCTAAAGGTAGGGATTCAGAATAACGACAAACATCAAAAATTAATCGATAGAATCCTTAGTTACCAAAAATTGCAGACAACAATATAATCAGAGAAAAATTGCAACAGCTGACGAATAATGATGATAACAACAAGTAATTATCCAATAGAACAATCACAATTTGAAAAATAGGACATGGAGTAAGTGATCCGTGTTGCAAAACTAAAGGGCTTAACAGGGATCGACGATCCCAAAAACATTACTAATCGAAAGCCAGTTGAAAAAAATTAATGACACTTCAAAAGTCAGCTGGGTACGGATTCTCAATCGTTAAGTCGATACGTAACGTCCCGACTCCCTGTAGAAAGGCAATGGGAAGTCGGGGTCGATAGGTTGCAACTAGAGGTTGAGAATCGGGGGGCTGAGACGCATGACTTAAGCGTCAAGTGTCATTATAAAATAGAAAGCAAGGATATCACAGAACACATAGCAAAGATTATGGAACCAATGATTGAACCGGGTTCAACTAAAACTGGTACTGAGTTCAATAACCGAACAGAGTAGTTCGGAACACACACTTTGAAAACCAATTTTATTATGATTTGGGAACATAACCCCAAAAGAAATAATTGACAAATGAATATTTGTTTACATAGAGATTGATTTTGAAATTGAATAAAAATATTGATTAAAATCGAGGAAAATCATTAGTCTTCACAAGAACTAGTAAAAAATGAAAATAGAATTCAAATATTGAAAATTAGAAAATTTACAGGATTTGCAATTGCTGTAATTGTTGTTGAAATTTTATATAGAGAAAGTGTTAACAAATTTAAAGGAATTTTGAATAAAAAACTGAAAATAGGTAAGAATTAGTTAAGCAATTTTGGCTTGTTACAAGGTCATCCAATACCTGCTGCCTTATTTCTATTAGACTTAATCGTTAAGATGATCAGCAATGATTTTTATATAAATAGTAGGAAATTAGTAGAAATTTTCAATTTGCTATACTCGCGATATCATCATATGAGATATGGAAAAAAATGGGAAATTTCACATCACATTCTGTCTTCACATAGGCATCTGATACTCCAGTATAATGCGCCCTAACTTAAATATTTTCATTCCAGCAAAAAAACTTTCCTAATCACCCATATCAATCAAATTCATCCAAAGATCGAGTGCGGACGAGTTCATTATCGTCCCCCATTGGTCAAGTGGTTGCTTGGAACAATGGGCACTCCACTGGCTTCAACACCAACAAACAAGGATTGATTCGTAAATCGTAATTGTAAAAAGTTTTCTCCCTCGGAGTAGTTATTTCTAACAGGTCAACAAAGTTTAAGGATTGATTTATTTATAGAGTAATAGTGGAATGAACTATAACAGTCCAAATATTTATTGATTTTGAGCTACGGATTTTGGAGACTCACAAATGACTTGTCTTGCCTTTTTGGGTTATAAATCGAATGATTATGTCCGAAAGGTTTTCTCACAGTTTGGTTGGCCAATAAAATATAAGTAAAAGTTGTCTCACTGCCTGTCAGCACTTTGAACTATCAAGATCGCAAGCGCAAAGGAACTTCCAACTGGACACGCTGGACCTTAAAATCTCTTGCGACGGAGAATATATTTTTTGTTTACATTCTTATGGAAATAGACTTATTATATTTTGTTTTGGATGTTTGTGGCTATATGGTAAAGTTTTAATGTTGCTTAATTTTGACTAAACGCACTCCATTCTCTTGAAAAAATTGACTCAACGGACCGAAAACAATAATTATTATTCTTAAATTTTATAGTTACCTCATATAATCTTGCTTGCACAAAATCATTCCGCCTTTGGTGAAACACGAGGTGCCGATATCGGCCAACATGGCGCCACAACATGAACACTTTAAACACCCATTGTGCCAGTACCGGTCCAGGGCGTGGAGCAGAAAACGTTCCACAATTTTGCCCCCGCACCCCGCACAAACTTTCACTGAATTGTTATTGTTGTTGTTGTTATTGTGGCCGCCTACTATGCTGGGGTTCTGATGGTGTCCTGGATGCAGACTACCGTCCGGTGTTGGTGTACCGCTGTTGGTGTAGGCCGGGTGCTGGTGGTGGTTGTGGGATGGTCCGTTTTGTAATCCTGCAAAGAATATTCTCATTTTTATTGATTGTAGACATTGAATTTGTTATGAACAGATAGCTTAATTTTAGTTCTGGTTTGATCTACTAATCAGTAGCTGGTTTTATCAAACAGGTAATATTAAGTGCGAAAAATGTGTAGTATCCCAGAAGCTTCAGAAGTATGTTACTACAAGAATCAATATAGTAAACCGGTTGCAACTAAATATCATTTAAGTGCATATGCTCTCATGACAGTCAAAACCTACGATGAGGTCAGGGCCTATACAAATTTGAAAGAAAAATAACATGAGGAAAGTGAAAATTGGTGAAGACAAAAGTGGAAAGGCTAGGCAACTACGATCTAGGAATAAAAGATAAGCGGAAAGAAAGATAGTAAAAAAAGAATGTAACACTTAATGATTTTTTTGAGTTTACAATATTCGTTTCAACGCACAAGATCATTAATCCGTTACGATGATTCATAGTTGATCCTTTGTTGATCAATAGTCAACAGCTGCTTATTCCTGCCGCAGTGAAGGCAGTAAAACAAGCTTGGAAATGTACCAAGTTAAATACAAGAAATACTATTAATAATAATAAAGAAAATAGTTAAAGAAACATTAACAATAAGTTAACGGGTACATCACCCCCTTGTGGTCCTCCCTGCAGTCTAAACACCCATTTCCATCACTGTCTCATGACAGCCTCATAGCCCTGATAACAGACCCCATCAACTTCTTGACTTCCCTTCTTAAATAAGGTAAATTAGGGTTTCAGATTCAGTGTCGTGGGTACTCTGACACCTCACTTCGAAACGTTAGCAAACCGTGGAAACGGAAGAACCCAATGGTGAAATATAATCTAAAATCCTAAAACCTTAAACCCCGAAAAAATAAAAATTCTTAGAACCCTTTCGTATTTATGAAATCAAAATCCCAACCCTCGAATGGTACATAAATGATTAGAATTAAAATAGCAAAATCCCCTGAAACATGTAGGTTATCTTAAACAAAAAACCCCTTAACTAATAAGGCCATTAATGTCCCTTTTGGAAGTGACTAATGAGTTTTTTACTGACAAATTGGCCCTCGTGGAGGTCAAATTGCCCTTTTTTATTGAATTCCAAATATTTACAAAATTACTGATATGCTAATCTAAATATTGATAACGAAAAGGTTAATTCAGAATGATAGAAATGTTCAAATTTACCTGGTAACAATTTGGGCTAGTTGAACAAAACGTGCTCGATCCTCGCACCGACAATTCAACAAAATGGCGTAGCTTATCGTCTCCAGAAAATTCTAAGTGGTTGGCTTACAAATACGGGGACTTACGACCCAATCTAAGCTTTCACCCCAAAACCAATTAAGCCAGCTACCACCTTAGTTCCCAACGGCTCTAAAATCCCACAAAAGGTGGATGTTCCAAGGAACGAAGCCAAGAAGGACCGCTGGTAAAATCTGCCACTTATCGCTTGCTCAACGTGCGAATTTAAAAAGGACGACCTTATTTTCAGGAATTTACCAGGTAAGCTCATATAAGAAATTTACCAGAATTCCATTTTTTTCAAGATGCCCTCTGCTGCCAGATTTCCGGTCTTGACCAGGAAAACGAGACAATCAGCTTGAAACGGAACAACCCAAACCACATTGATGACAAACGAAACCCAAAATTGGTATCCAATTTTCTCCCCTAACACTAATTAATTAATTAATAATCATCATTTACCCAGTCTTTAGTACAAAAACTATCAAAATGACCACTCATTCAGTGGTCACAACTACAGTGACTCTATTACCCACAGTGGTCAAGAAACCTCGGCAACAGCGCTGCCTGAAACGAAACAACAAATGTCCCATAACCACACTTAATCGGCGAAAATAAATAACCGGGAAAAGGTAAATAATAGTGGAGATAAGGGTGAAAAAGCGATTTAAAGGCTGTGAAAGTGATGTGTGATGTTGCAGAATTTTTAATAATGGAAAATACGAGACTCGTAAGTGTTGCCAATTGATATTTATTTCGAAGTAAACAAACATTTTCGTTAACAGTTAGGGCTTTTTAGACAACTTTCGTAAGCTAAATAAAGTAGATTTCGATCCTATTAGGCTCTCCAAACCATGTGATTTTTCAATATGGCGACTGTGGCAAATTTGATGTTTATTTGTTTATCTTGAGTTAATTTGGAATATTTTCAAGCTAATTACAGTTTACTTTGTTATAATATACTTTTCGAGATGCAGAGTGAATATTCAAAGACTTAAATGCAGGAAAATCGGGATATGGGCGAACGATAAGTTTGAAAAAATGTCTATTTGACATTTGTTTACATTTTGACCTAGTTTCTACAGCAATGAGCAAATGAAGGCCTACAAAAGCTTAGATTCTTACAAGTATTTCGAATATGGTTTTATTTTAGATGCAGGAATAGTGGTACTGAATAATTTCTACGTTTTAATTGGAAAAATTTGAAAGGTTGGGCACTGAAAACAACCTGATATCATCCTTGTTGAAACGCCTTCTAAAATCAACTACATGACACCTTTGTGACATTTTTAATTTAAAAAAAGCCTTATGAAGTCAATAAAAAAATAAAATAAATAGGGTTTAGTCACAAAACAACCACACAATGCACTTTAAAAAGCTTTAGATTCTGTACTGTCATATGCGGAATATGGAACTTCCGCCCCGGTCGCCATTTTGGAATAGTTTTGACAAGTCGTTGGAATGCCTAATTAGTAGGGCTTTATTACCCTAAAACTACCCTGTCATCTGAATGCAAAGAATTTTCTCATTATTACCTCGAAAGATATACTACCCTTGTTCAACAACTAGATATTGTTTCGAATCCAAACAAAAAGGTAGAAATCTAGTAAAATCCAATGAGAAACCTATCAATCACTGAAAAATATTAAGCCTCATTCCTCAGGTATAAAGCTTTCCAAATACCCTCACAAATACCTGAATGAATTAGTGAATTTATTAGTAATCTCCAGTTACGTATTAAGGCAAAATTTGAACGTAAGAAATTGTTTGGCGAAGAGATCTGCTTTTTCCTTTGAGGATACTACAATGGAATTAATAAGTATGTTTTGATTAAGATCGTCTTTTACTCTTGAAACTTTTCCTGGAAATAGTGATCAAAAATGTACGAAGAATGGTAAAAATTCGATAAGAATCAAAAACCGCATATAGAGCTGCCTAAGGCTGGGCCATTTAGATTTGCCCTTATCAGCAAAAATGATATGCTATATCTAGGTAGAACGTAGAACTTCTATACTCACAAGGTTGAATCACGGAACCTAACAGGAACTTTCTGTAGGAAAATCGAGGTCCTTGGCTATTCCTTAGACACACAACCAATCCGTAAGTGCTAAGTAGAATAGGAAACTACTAACAGGAAATCGACAGAAAATAGGTCCAGGAATAACAAGAATGGTTGAAGACCTTGGGAATATGAGACGGAGCTGCAGGGAAAAAAAGGAAGATAGAAGAGTACCTCTGGTTTGCTACATTCCATGCAGTCTTTATTTATTGAATACTATCCAAGGTTTCTTCCTATGAATCTATTCCGTTTGATTTTGACAGATTTTCCTAAATATATAGACGTCCACGGCGACATGTTCTATATACTATATAGGCAATGATAAATCATTATATAGATTGAACTAACTAACTAAAATTTTAATTAACCAAAAAAGAACACATTCAAGTATGTTCCTTGCCTTTGTTTACACGCACCTTTTCTCGCTTTATTACTACGCGTTTAACGAACGGCCATTAAAGTCGTACCATCGCCATAACAAAATAAAGGTTCCGTACTAATGGGGTACCACTTGACAAGAGGCTGTAAATAACCCATTTTTTTTTTTTTTAACTTAACAGCAAAATTATTATTATTTAAAAACGATTTTATAGTCTGGTCACCGGAAAACCTGACTTCCTGTTGTGTGTGGGGGCCTTCACCAGTCAGCGGAACAAAATGCCCCCCGAGGGATTCAACCATGAAATAATTTCGTCTAAAATTAAATTTTCGGTATAGTCAAGCTGGTGATGCGAAATACTGATGTGATTTTTATGTTTTATTAAAGGTATGTTTCATACATTGTCGAAACTCATTCAGAAACTATCACAATTATTATGCATCAAGTGTTTGGGGTTAAAACTGATCGGTTGTGGGTGGGAAAGATCGGAAAAGACATATATTTTTGTACCTATGTATTGACAAATATGTCTGAAGTATTTTTTTTTTTGGTTAGACGTGAATACTCTTTCAATTAAAATGATTCGATTGCTGCAAGAAAGTCTTTGATTAAGCCTTTATATTATGTTGTACATAATATTTGTATTTCTCTCCTCTTTTGTTTATGTTTTCACGACAAAGTACAGAGTACAGCAAAAAATTAATAAACCATTTTTAAATTGCTTTCCAAATTAATATGTTCGTAATTTTGTAGCAGGGACAGTTACACCGTGTGATGAATAGACTAGCCATTATGACTGGACTTTGCCTTTTTTGTATATAGAACAAGGACATATCTTGATGATTGATGAAATTATTTTGTAGTGGCCGAATTTATTCACAGAAGAAGAGAGGAAAGTCATATCAATCAAGAAGAAAAGAGAGATGAATTTAATGATGCTAAACAAGGCGAAAAGAAATTTTTACAATAATTTCAAGTATTGTAGCGGAATTCTGTAAGCTGTAATAAAGGGCCCCATTCACGTTGAGATCGGTAGCGATACATGTTTCGCGACAGGCAGCGCTACATATATCTGAGATTTGTATCCATGTTTCAACTGCTCTTACACGTTGAGATGCGACCTCCAGGAAACATCAGTTCAGTCACAAGTTTAGTTCAATTAATAATTTATATAAATTCAAAAAATCCTGCCAAAACTCAAGATCTTCCATGTTGGAAACAACATTTTAGTAGCGCGATACATAATAAACTTCAACATACACGTTGAAACAAGTAGGTATCAGTTGCATGCGTTCGGTATGGAAGTTTCAGTACA